GCTGCCGTTTTTCTCCTTCACTTTTTTTCTTTGTTCTTAGACTCCACAGATGAGTGAAATCATATGATACTTTTCTTCTTCCACCTGGCTTATTTTACTAGCTCCATCCATGTTGTTGCAAATGTTAAGATTTGTTTTCTTCTTATGGCTGAATAGTATTCCATTGTGTATATGTACCACATCTTTATCCATTCATCTACTGATAGACACTTAGGTTGCTTCCATTTCTTGACTATTGTAGATAGTGCTGTGATAAACATAGGGGTGTATCTGTCTTTTTCAAACTGGGCTGCTGCATTCTTAGGGTAAATTCCTAGGAGTGGAATTTCTGGGTCAAATGGTACTTCTATTTTGAGTTTTTTGAGGAACCTCCATACTGCTTTCCACAATGGTTGAACTAATTTACACTCCCACCAGCAGTGTAGGAGGGTTCCCCTTTCTCCACAACCTCACCAACATGTGTTGTTGTTTGTCTTTTGGATGNTTCTTTGGAGAACTGTCTGTTCAGTTCCTCTGCCCATTTTTTAATTGGATTATTTGCTTTTTGTTTGTTGAGGTGCATGAGCTCTTTATGTATTTTGGATGTCAACCCTTTATCAGATCTGTCGTTGATGAATATATTCTCCCACACTGTAGGGTACTTTTTTGTTCTATTGATGGTGTCCTTTGCTGTACAGAAACTTTTCAGCTTGATATAGTCCCACTTGTTCATTTTTTCTTTTGTTTCCCTTGCCAGGGGAGATACATTCATGAAGAAGTTGCTCATGTTTATATTCAAGAGAATTTTGCCCATGTTTTCTTCTAAGAGTTTTATGGTTTCATTACTTGCATTCAGGTCTTCGATCCATTTCGAGTTTACTTTTGTGTATGGAGTTAGACAGTAATCCAGCTTCGTTCTCTTACATGTAGCTGTCCAGTTTTGCACACAATACTATATTAATCAGCCATAAAAAAGAATGAAATCTTGCCATCTGTAGCAACATGGATGGATCTTGAAGGTATTATGCTAAGTGAAACAACTCAGAAAGAGAAAGAAAAATATTGTATGATTTCACTTACATGTGGATTAAAAACAAAAGAAATAAACCAAACAAAACAGAAACAGATTCAGAGAACAGACTATTGGTTATAAGACTGGAAGGGAGGGGTGGAGGAGGGTGCACAAAATAGATAGAGGAGATTTAGAGCTACAAACTTCTAGTTATAAAATAAGTGAGTTACAGGGATGTAATGTACATCACAGGGAATGTTGTCAGTAATACTGTAGTAACTTTGTGAGGTGAAGTGAAAACCAGACTTATCAGGGCATCATTTCACAATGCATAAAAATATACAAACACTATGATGTATGCCTGAAACTAACAGGATACTGTATGTTAATTATGCTTCAATAAAAAGATAAAAGGTAAAAATAAAGGTATACACTGAAGTATCCCCCTCATCCACATCTCCCATCTATTTATTTACCACCTCTGTGGGGAAGCACATTTATTGCTTTCTTGTGCTCCTTTCAGGAGTATTACTAAATGTGTGTGCAAATACAAGCAAATGTAAATGTATTCTCATGTTTGTTTGTTTTGCTAACAATGTATCTTCCAGATCTTTGCATATTAGTACAAAAAAAGCTAATATTTTTTATAACTACATTGTATTCACTTGTATGCATATTACATAATATATTTATCTAATCAATTCCCTAATGGTGGACATTTGGGTTATTTCCAGTATTTGCAATTATTAAGATGCTTTTTAATACATTGCTTATGACATAACTGGAGAAATCACGTGGGGAAAAAAGAGAGAGAAATGACTCACTACAACTCTAACCCACAGAAATAGTTCCTAAATAGCTTATGTTTCAACTTAGAATCTATAAATTCTTACATCTAAAAAATTACAGTGTCTATAAAATATTATACCTTGTAGATATTTTATTCTTAGCATGTTAGGTCAAGGATCCTTTTGAAAAACCTGATGCTAGTTATGGATCCTTTCTGCAGAGAAGTGCCCTCACGAAAGCTTTTCGCAATGTTCCAAGAGGTCATGGCCACCCACTGGTATTGGTCACAGACCTAAGATTTTAAAATTCATGAACCAAACTCATTCCAGTACATTAATATTTTTGATTTCTAGCATTGTGGAGGAATAGAAGCACTTTTAATAGTTGTGTGAAAAAAAGATTTAGTATATATTAGATATTGCAAAGCCTATAGATGGGCTTTGTTGGGCTGAATGGTGTTTTATTATTTTCTAAAACAATTATAATTATTTGTGAACTCGGAGATTTCACACAAGGCCCTATATTTTCAAAATTTCTCCAAATTTTGAAAATCTAGAGGCAATGGGAACACACTGCTCTCTTCCTGTCTGCAAGCCCTTTCAGCCCACTGCCTCCTGACTCATGCCCACTAGCCCTGTTGTCTGGCCCTTATAAGCGTTTGGGTCTAGGATTCCCAGATGAATCTTGGGTTTGCATTTTTAAAACCCTAAGATTCTGTCACTTGCTCCTTTGGTTTTATTCTGAGTTATTTAGGGATGAACCAAAGAACAAAGGAGAAAGTAAGGGATTCTTTGCAGCTTTTCATCTTCTTCCAAGGTCTCCTCCCAGGAGATGAGAAAAGGAAGGAGAGAAGGGTTCAGGGCTAGAAGAGAAAGAGCAGACAATCTTTTGTGAAGATGAATGAAGTGTCCTGTGGGTGACAGGCCAAGTTGGGGTTCTAAGGTAGATGAGGGTCAGGAGGGGACACTAATGGTGTAGTCAGCAGTGAAAGTGAAGCTGCTTTATCTTGGGGTGGTTCGCTTTACAACTTTATCATCTCAGTTGGGGGCAGTCCTCTGCAGGACATGACAGCAAGAGCAGGAACACTGGTCCCAACTGTTGGGACATTCACCCAGGGTAGACTTTCTATCTTCACCATCTGTTCATGGGCCTCCCCATCCATTTTCTTGGGGCTCTGGCATCTTGCCTTAACAGATGGTACTGGCTTTGCATTGTAGATAATATTTCTCTGAACACTTTCTCAATGCCTAACTTGTACTTACCATTTTTACCTGACAACTTTCTCCACAACCCTCTTAGGTAGTATACAAAGAATGTATATAAATATATGTACATTTATGTAATATAAGTATGTATATATATACTTTAAGATGCTATAATGTATAGATATACACAGACATACATTTATTTATTTATTTCAGTGTGTCCTAGGGTTGTGATTTTTTTAAATGGCATTTTTTACTATATGGGTCTGGATCAATATGGTTTGGAAGCCACCAGTGAAAACATGAGCCAAGCAGAAATTAAAATACAGAGTGGTAAATATTATGCCCAGAGAGGGCATACCCCATGGGGAAAGGGGATAAGGATGTTTTCTGCAGGAGGAGATTCTTGAGCTGTATCTTAAAAGGTAGGCAAATTGGAGTCCATATGGAGTAAAATACTTCCAGCAAAGGAAGTAACACAGAGGCTCTAAATCCTTGTGGTTAAAGGAACACGTATAGCAGCAGTAGATCTATCATATGAGTAGAGGAGGGGGCAGACCAGGGAGCTTCCCTCTTCAGCACACTGAGGAGTATGGATCTGATNTGGGGAAAGGGGATAAGGATGTTTTCTGCAGGAGGAGATTCTTGAGCTGTATCTTAAAAGGTAGGCAAATTGGAGTCCATATGGAGTAAAATACTTCCAGCAAAGGAAGTAACACAGAGGCTCTAAATCCTTGTGGTTAAAGGAACACGTATAGCAGCAGTAGATCTATCATATGAGTAGAGGAGGGGGCAGACCAGGGAGCTTCCCTCTTCAGCACACTGAGGAGTATGGATCTGATGCTGAGTCGGGAGAGCCATGGAGGACAGGGAGGTGACATTTAATTTGCTTTGCTTGCTTGTTCATTTATCAGGTAGATGACTGGCAGCCTGCTAACTGGTCTCCTTGCTGCCACCTGCCCACACCCCCACCCCAGTCTACTCTCAACACAACAACCAGAGTGATCCTTAAAAAAAAAAGTCCAATTGTGTCCCTCCTCTTCTCAAAACACCACATTAGCTCCCCATTCACTCAGAGTAAAAGCCAAGGTCCTAACAATGGCCCTATGTAACCTTGTTCCCTTATTCCTCCAGCCTCACCTCCTAGGGCTCTCCCTGCTCACTGCACTCCAGCTAGTCTCTGAAAGTCACCAAGCACCCACCTGTACCTTAGGACCATTGCACTGTCTGTCCACATCATCTGGGATGGTCTTTCCCCAGGCGTCCACATCACTAAATGTCCTTGGCTCCTTCACATTTTGGCTCAAATGTCATCCTCTTGGGACATATTTAAAGTTGTACCTTCCCTATAAACCATTCCTAATCTCCTTTGCCCTCTTCTACTTCAGAAAAAGCAAATCCATAGAGACATAAAGTAGACATTACCAGCAGCTGGGAGAGGGGAAATTGGGAGTGACTAATGTGTACTGGATTTCTTTTTGGGGTGATGGAAATATTCTGTAATAGTTAGTGGTTGGTTGCACAACACTGCAAATATACTAAAAACCACTGACTTATACACTATAAATGGTGAATTTCATTTTATACAAATTTTAAAATTTAAGATTCTAAAGCCAGAACAAAGCAAATCCATTAGTCTTGAGCCACCACTCTTCCCTTCTTAGTGGCCCATTCTGGCATTTTACCCCCAGATCCAAGGGTCCACTTCCTATCCCCCTCCAGAGGGCAGCCTATGAGTGCTACCTGGTGTTGTCTTTCCTGACCCCAAGGCCTTGTCACCAACTCCAGCTCTTCTCTGAGTGATGGCTGCTGAGCAAGTTCCCCATCCCTGCATGCCTTCTCTGATTTGGAGCTCCCAAACCAACTCCTCCCTGAATCCCCCATGCAATGTGGACACTGTAACTCAGGGACCCAGCCATTCTGCAGCCAGGTCATTTCCCATCATTCTCAGAAGTAAAGATACCATATTGCAATGGGTAGAAGTGTGTCACCCCAAAAAGATATGTTGAAGTCCTAACTCCCAGTACCACCAGAATGTGACCTTATTGAAAATAGAGTCTTTACAGAGGTCATCAAGTTAAAATGAAGTCTTTAGGATTAGGGTGGGTCGTAATCCAATATGACTAGTTCCTTTATAAAAAGGAGAAATTTGGACACAGACACATACAGAGGGAAGGCGACATGCAGACAGCTTCCTAACTAGAGTGATGCATCTACGAGCCTAGGAACACCAGGACTTGCTGGCACACACCGTAAGCTAGAAGAGGCCAGAAAGGATCTTCCCCTAGAGGCTTCGGAGAGAGCATGACGCTGCTGACATCTTGATCCCAACTCAGCCTACAGAACTGGGAGAGAATTCATTCCTGTTGTTTTAGGCTTCCTAGTCTCTGGTACTCTGTTACAGTGGCCCTAGGAAGTGGATGCATGGAGAAGAATACAGGGTGGCAGAAGACTTAACATTTGAATAGGAAACCATCAGCACTACTCACAAAAAGGGACAAACTGCCAATACCTACAGCAGCTTGCCTGGATTGCACTGGGCTATAAAGGGGGGTCCTTGTGAAGGAAACCCTGCAGCATCTGGACAGTGGTGGTCACAGATGTCTAGGTCTACCAACGTGACCACACTGCACAGAACTCAGTACACACATGCAAATGAATGCATGAAGGAGATTTGAATAAGGCCTGGGGTTGCATCAGTGTCAATTTACTGGTTGTGATATCTGTGGTATAGTTATTCAAGCTGTTACCATGGGGGGAACGGACTAGAAACCCTGAGATGTCACCTTTGCCTAATCTCACTCCTAGAATTGGGAATTTCTGCCTGTATATCAGGAGCTTTAACATAACAGACCCTGTTCTCAACAACGTCAGTCAGGCCTGAGACTCGCAGAAAGAAACAAGTGCAACTGCAAAAGAAGAGGATGGTAGACTAGGAGCACTCCTCTAATGAAAGGAAGTAGGGAACAGATGAGTTGGTTGCCCCGGCCCTCAATCTTCTCAGTCCCACACCTCCTTCAAATATCAGAAATCTTGCTGGAGAAGAGAGAAGCAGCTGGAATAAGAGGGATGGCCCGGATTCAGAGCAGGTGTCCTGGGTGACGCTCCGGGGTGGGCTTGAGCGCCGCGCGCAGGTGACCCGAACGGCGGCACCGCGACGACACCTCCTCTGCCACCCACTGTCAGCGACACCTCCTCTGTCACCCTGCGCGGCGTAGGGCCGCTCGCCGCCAGCCCATCGTCCAGGTCTAGTGCGGGAATCTCGGGAAGCTGAAGTCGGAGCCGCAGGCTGAGACGAGGGGAGGTGACCGAGTGCAGAAGTCAGGCGTGAATGTCCACCAACCCTGTGTACCGAAAAGCGTCTGTTTCCCGCCGCCTCTGCTCGCTCCCTCTGCGTGAGGACAAGGGACCGAATGGGCTTCTAGGGTCCTCAGGGGCAAGGAGACAAGGGAAGGAACTGGAGGACCCCGGGCTTCCCCAGAGGACGGTCCACGTCCCCGCTCGGCACTCTCCGGGGACTGGTCGGCGACGGGGGCCAAGAAGGCTGCCGGGGCTTTCTGGAGAGGGTGGGGATGCTGAGTCACTGATCTGTCACTGTTCGTCATCTCTCCCAGCCCTCCGGGGGCTAAAGCAAAAGGGAACGCGAATGCGGCTCGTGGGGCGGCCAGTCCCGGGACCTGCGCTCGCCACCTCCCCCCGGGAGCGGATGACCGCGGGCCGGCGGGCGTCCGGGCCGGTGCGAGCCCGCAGGTGGAGGGCGGAGGCGCGGCCATGGCGGGGCAGCGGCTCGGGGGCTGCGCGGGGCGCGCCCTGCCCGCGCTGCTGTTACTGCTGCTCCGGCCGCCGGCGACGCCGGGTAGGGAGAGCGCGCCCCCCGCGGGCGACGGGAAGGGCGCAGAGGGGCGGTGGGGCGGGGGGCGGGCGCGCCGACGCTCATGAAGGGACCGGGAGCTGCCGCCCGGGGCGCCCGCCCGGCGGGTGAAGGGTACGGGCGGCTGGGCGCGCATTCCGCCTTCCCAGCTGCCGAGGCAGAGGGAAGAGGCCGGCTTTGCCGGGGGGCTCCGACGCGGAGCTTCACAGCCATTTCGAGAAGCGCGTGGACTCGGTCTCCGAACCCGCGAGGAGAGCTGTGGGGACTGCCGGGCAGGCGTTCCCTGCAGGGTCCGAGGACAACCACCCCGCCTCTCCCCGCAGACGAAGCCAAGTAATTAGGACGGGTCAGCAGTGAAAGTGAAGGGGGCGGAAGGGTAGGGACTGAGGACCTGGGGAGAGGACACATGTAGGCAGGTTGCACACCTGGGGGACCTGGAAACGGTCCATTCTTACGCAGCAGGAAGCTGTGAGAGGTCGCGAGGCGGCAGGGCAGCCTGGACACGCGCGCTGGGCCACCAGCCACCGGGAGGAAATGATGGGGGCGGCGTGGCGTTTGCGATGGGACATAGGCCTCCTAGATGTACTCTCGGCGGGGAGAACGCAACGAGTGGCTGGTAGGCTTTCATCCCGGGAGCTAAGAGGAGAGAGGAGAAGGGATAGACTGGTCTGGCTGTATCCTTCTTAATCTTCCAATGTCAGGGATCCCTGTGAGGGTCTGATGAAAGCTAGCAACCCTCTCCCCAGAAAAACGCACGAATGCACATACTTAGAAAACTTGCGTATAATTTGGGAGTCAGCGACCCACTGAAGGCCATCCATGGACTCTCTCCGGGAGTTAGTACCCCCATGGTGTGCGCGTGCACGGCGAGACTCTCAGTAATTTACATCCAGTTGGCCCAGTCCACCCAGTTCTTGATTGGAGCCATCCATCCACAGCTGCTGCTGGCTGGCTTGGTGTAGATACCATAGGTCTGGGGAATTTATGATGTTTCGTTTTCTTCAGTCCATGTTTGGATATTGAGAGTCTGAGCTATGTTGGTGACCTGGTCAGTTCCCCTCAGCTGGCTCGACAGTATCCCTCTCCACCCTGTAGGAGATGCCAGAGATAGCCAGCACCCTGGGGCAGCCCTGTTGCACAATGTGAAAGTGAAATGCGGCTTTAGTCAGAAGCCAGCACAGATGAATTGTCCTCCTGGAAGCGTGGAGAACAATGCAGGCAAGGTCTCTAAAGCTCATCAACTACAGCATAGCTCTGACCCCACAAACACTTTGCTGCCATCCAGTAGCTCCTTTTATTTCTTAGTGTTTCCTTAAGCATCTTTACTGAGGTATAAGTGACAGATAATAAAGTGCATGTATTTAAATTGCGTGATTTGTTTAGAGGTCAGTGTATACATTCTTGAAGCCATCACTATGATCAAGAAAGTAAGCATAATCATCACTACCAAATTTTCCTCATATCCTGCAAAATCCTTACCTCCTACCCAGCCCTGTCCCTCAATCTGCTTTGTGTCACTTGCTTTAGTTGCATTTTCTAAAATTTTATACAAATGGAATCATACAGTAGGTAACCTTCGTTGTCTGGCTTCTTTCACTCATAGAAACTGTGCCAATTCTCTATCCATCTTGTAACTTTTATCAGTAGCTCCCTCCTCATTATTGCTGAGTAGCATTCCACAGAATGGATATCACACAGTTTGTTTATCCATTCACTTGTTAATGGAGTTTTGGGTTGTTTCTGGTTTTTGGCTATTACATATAAAGCTCTTACGAACATTCATATGTAGGTTTTTGTGTAGACATAGGCTTTCATTTCTCCTGGATAGAGAAAATGGGAGTGGAATGGCTAGATCATATGATATGTGCATTAAGTTTTAAAGAAATTGCCAGACCATTTTTCAGAGTAATTGTAGTATTTTACATTTCCAACAATAGCACGTGAGAGTTCCAATCCCTCTATATCCTGTAAGCACTTGGTGTGGTCAGACTTTTTTTTTAACCTTTAAATTGTTTTCCCCCACCTTTACTGAGATATAACTGACTTATAACATTGTGTAAGTTTAAGGTATACACTGTGATGATTTGATAAATGCATATATAGTGAAGGAATTAATACAATTAGGTTAACATACTCATCACCTCATGTAGTTAACAACAAATTTTCTGTTGGTGGCTGGCTGGTCTTCTAAATTGTACCTGTTCTAATAGGTGTGTAGTGGTCTTTCACAGTTTTAATTGTATTTTCCTAATAACTAATGATGCTGAGCATCTTTTCATGAGCTTATTTGCCATTGGTATATCTTCTTTATATATAAGAATATATCTTATATATCTTCTTTAGTACAGTGTCTGGTTAAGCCTTTTGCCCTTTTAAAAACCTTGAGTTGTTGAAGTGTTATTGAGTTGTTTATATGTTATGGATGCAAATTTTTTATCAGACATACAATTTGTAAGTATTTTCTCAGAGTCTGTGGCTTGTCTTTTCATTCTCTTAACAGTATCTAATGAAGAGCAGAAAATTTTTATTTTGATAAAGCTCAACTTAATTTTTTATGTATTATGCTTTCAGTGTCATAGCTAAGAAATCTTTCATAGCTAGCTAAAGGTTACAAAGGTTTTCTTGAAGTTTTACAGCTTAACGTTTTACATTTATGTCTGTGATTCATTTTGAGTTAATTTTGTGTATAATGTGAAGTATGGATGGAAGGTTTTGTATTGGTTTGGTTTTGAGTTTTTAAGGATATGGATATCCAATAGTTCCAGCACCATTTGTTGGAAAGGTTCTCTGTGCTGAGTTTCTCTTACGTCTACTTTGAACATCAGCTGTCCATATATGTGTTAGTTACTGTAGACAAAACATCAATACATGAAAGACAATTATATTTCTACACATTAGAATGAGCAATTGGAAACTGAAATAAATAAAACAAACCAATATAATTTGCAGTAGCACTGAAAAGTACGAACTACTTAGGGGTAACTGACAAAAGAAGAGAAAGATATGACACTGAAAACCAGAAACCATTGCTGAGAGGAATTAAAGAAGACCTATAAAATGGAGAGATATAACAAGTTTGTGGATTGGACAAATCAATATTGTTACGGTGTCATTCTTCCCAAATCAAAATTCTAGCAGGCTTTCTTACAGAAATTGGCAAACTGTCTCCAAAATTCACATGGAAATGCAAAAGATCTATCACAGCCAAAGCAACTTTGAAAAAGAACTGAAATGGAATAACAACACTTCTGATTTTGAGACTTTTTATAAAGCTACAGGAATCAAGACAATGTGGTATTGGAGTAAAGAGCTCAGAAGAGAAGTGTATACAAATTATTAAATTTTCTAGTTGGTCATATGAATCTTGGTCAGAAAGTATACAGAGCAGTCCATTCTTTATCACTCGCTGAGTAAATAATACAATCTTAGATCTGTTTCTGCTAGTTTATAGTGCTAATAGACACAGCAGGTTATTATCTGTTCTAATTCAAAAGGCTTAATTCTGGGGGGAAGTCCATCACCTTGGGCCAGTGGTAATTTACTTCTTAATGATCTTCACAACCTGAAAGGCTGCAGATGATTTGCCAAAAGAGCTGGAGAAGATGGTGATTTGCCTGAAAATGAATACCCTACTCACCAGTTTGGGTTTGGTTGTACTGGGTGTCAGTGCACATGGGGTGTCTTTAATTTATGTGTCTTTATTAAAATATGTTTTAAATAATTTTTCAGAATTCTGGGGTATTTTGTCCAAACGTTTTACTTTTTATTTCAACTTTATACCAACAATTTATACCAACTTTACCTAGGTATTACTGCTTTGTACAGGCGATAGCAAAGAAGTGACAAAACCTTAAATGTACATATTATTGGATCTAAGGAAATCAACTTAGATGTTCAACAGTGAAGGACTGACTAGACAGAATGAAGTTGCTTACAAATATGCAAAAGGCATTGTATGACTAAGTTTTTACTAGATCTAGAAGTAGTGTCACAAACTAGGGAGATTTATGGGTCATCTGTGTGTGTGGTAGTCTTTTCTTATTTTTCTATCATAATTTGAACTAATTTTGTAATGAGAAAAGTAAATTAGTAAACTACAAAAAAAAACATAAAAGATCTAGAATTTTGGAGTTTTTCTAATTCATTTTTAATTAGTTATAGCTGATTTTGTTTGGCAGTATTTTCATCACCTTATGTATTTTTCAAACTGCTCAAAATAAATTTCTATACAGTCACTGCATATAACATTTGTGCATAGTATACATGTATTTTATAATGCTTTACAATTTGTCTAAACAATTCCTTAATCCTAGAGCTGTGTGTAGGCTTCAGTTGCCTCCTGGGGTTTGGATATTTAGACTGTTTCAAAAGAGTTGATGTTCTAAAAAGCGAGAGTAGGAATAATTAGATGAGAACTAGGTATATAGAGCAAGAAAGGCAAAAGGAAACCCCTGAAAATCTAAAAAATGGCAGAAATATTTCTGGGGATGCTCTTTTTCAACCAGATCATGACTTCAACTCACTTGTTTTGGGCTAAATCACTTTTGCCAAATTGATGTCACCATAGAGTATGTAGCTAAATGAATAAGTGTATGAAATACCCTAGGATATATTCTTGGATTCATAAATGTTTACTCATTACATATTGATGTTACTTGAATATTTTCTACTTAGACTTGATTGTCTTTTGAACACTAGGGAGCCACTGAGGGCTTCTAGTGAGGAAGAGGGACATTATTAGAGCTGCATCGGTAGAAGGGTTACTCTTATAAAGAATGTGAAAATAAACTATAGTCAAAAGGATATGGAGGCAGGAAGCTAAGTTAGAGGCTTTTGTAATAGTTCCAGTAAGTAGTGATGCAATCCTGAACCAGAGCCATGTCAATGAGGGAGAGAGGAGGGAGCAGATTTCCTCTTGTGTCCTACAAGTATCGAATGTTTTTCATTGTTTCCCGTTGCTCTTCAGCCTATAGCCAGTCAACTCT